TATTTTTTTATATTTGCATAATCCTTCCAATCTTTGTTCATACATATCCATAAAAAAATAAAAACCAGCTCCGATCATGTACTATGGAGTCTTCTCAACTAGAATAATTCTGTATTGGAGTGCTCTTATCCAATTCTCATTTATCTTAATCAGTAAAACCCCTTAATCAGTCCATTAATATACTCAGTTATTCAACAAGTTAGCTAATTCTCTGGGCCATGGAGGTCCATCCGTCTGGATAGTGTTTTTCAAGGACACAGGGGTCCTTTGTGTCTCCCATGGCTTTAAGCATGGGAGAACTCCCCTCCCTCAGCTGACCTTTCAAAGTCTTCAGAGAAGGAATCACCCTCAACTTCCCTCTTCTTCCCCCCTACCTACTCACTTGGGCCCCTGCACGGACTGGTCCCTTCATCCCCACCATCTGAGAATAAGGGCCTCCTTATAATGTACAGATTCCTTCCCCATATCCCTATCCTCTCCTAAGAGGGAGAAGAATGGTCTGTGTGATACGTGAAAGCAAAGAGGACAGTTTGTGGAAGAGCAAGCTGCCCAGAGGCTGCCCACAGGTCTGGGTTGTAGGAACATGTGAGTGAAGCTGGGATTCAGTTTATGAGATCGCCTCACTTCTGGAGGCTTCTGCCTAAATGCACTAACCTCAGACCCTCCTCAGGGTCTTTCTTCTTGGGCCTTCCAAAATGCTGTCTTCCCTACCTTGGTTCCACCAAAGAGTAAGCTAGAATTCAAGACTGATAGAGAGATGAATGAGATAGATGGATAGGTAGGTGGATGAATGGGACAGAGGGAGGGTGTGAATGGATGGAGCGATACAGAGATGGATGGGTGGAGAGACAAGTTGATAGAAGGTAGCTTGGATGGACAAACTGACAGAAAGCAGGAAGGTCCCAAAGAAATAGGTAGTTATCTGTACTCTTTTCGTTGTCTGTTTTCCAAAAGCAATGATTAATTCAAGGTAAAGAGGACCCCAAAATTGGATGTCAAATCATAATCACAGCTCCATAGAACCACAGACTAAGCTAAAATGGAGCTCTTTTTTACAGATGAGCAAACTGACGTCCAAGGATGTCCAATGATTGGCCTGAAGTCTCAAACACTATTTATTTTTCATGTTTTCATTTTCCAATCTCTCAATCTCTTTCTCCCCCCACTCACCCTCTCTTCCTTCTTCTCCCTCCCTCCCCCCTTGTCTCTGAAAAAAATCACTCTTATCCTTTCACCTGCATATCTTCCATCTATCTTTTATCTCTGCCCCCAGCCAGTTTCCTGGTTCAAAGTCACCCCACAGTAAATCAACCTACCAGCACAGTGGTTTCCACAGCAGAAGCAGGAGGTGAGACCGACATTCTGCTTCTAACAAAGCCATTTTCAATAATGTATAATTAATTATAACGTGTAAGAAAGGCCTTTTCCTTGCAGGCTGGTGCAAAGTTCTTCCTGACATCTAACACAGCTCCGTCCTTCTCTTTATGGTTGATTAAATAATCTACCCCCCTTCTCTTTTCCCTGAAAATGTAAGGCATTGTCTTTGCCAGCCTTGGAAAGGCCAGGACAATGGAAGGCACTCAGCTCGGGGCCCCTCCTGCGGGCTCCTCCACGGGGGTGGGGGGTGAAGGGAGGCAGGCGGAGAGGAGCTCAGTGCTGGTTAGGAGCGGAGACCCTCCTGGCTCTTTCTCTCCCCTCCACGTGCACGTGAAGCTGAGCCGGCAGGATGCAGGAAACCTTTTTCAGAGTATTGATCACAGAGCCACGGGTGGCTGCCAACGGGATGCTGCGCGGTCTGTCGGGGCCCCATCCGGGAGGTGAGAACTGTGTGCAGAACGCCCTCCTCACAGGCCCTGCTCCAGGGGGCAGGGGTGGAGTCTGCAGCTCCTGGCCTTCTGAGACACATCCCTTATTGTTAGCCCCAGACCCCTGTACTCCCGCTCTGTTCCCAGCCAGTTTCCCTCCCATCCTCCAAAAGAGCTATAGAACCAGGCTTCCCAATCAGGAAATCTTCTCGCCTTGAACAGATGCGAGGCGGTGTGGGTTCTGGTCCAGCCCTCTCTACCCTGACCTGGAACCCCACGACGGAGCACCCACCCCACCTACACATGTCGCTGACATGCATCCTGCCCAGAGAGTTTCCTACCTAGAAACTACGGGTGGTTTTATTGCGCCGTGTCTTTCTTTTTATGCCTACATCTGTGTCATCTCAGACTGGGAGCTCCCTAACAACAAGATATGTATTAAAAATAGATAACCTTAACAATAATAATAACACCTTGAGAATGTACTCTGTTCCTGGCTCTGCACCAAGCATGTTCCGGGCACCATGACCCTCACTGTTAGCAGACCTGTCCTCTTCAAGCTCCACCCACCCCACCCACCTGAGCCACCTGGGAAGGGCCCACCAGCTGGTGAGTCTAGAACTGTCCTGGAGTCTGGAGAGCCTAGGAGGATCCATGGCCATCAGAGGACCCTCTGAGGCCCCCTCCCAGGCGTCGGCCCGGGCTTCGGGGCCAGCTCTCCAGTCTCACCATTCTGCAGCCTGCAGGAAACCAGCCCTTCTGGTCCTAGACTGAACCCTGACACCCCGGTGTGTGTGCATGCGAAGTCGCTTCAGTTGTATCTGACTCTTTGTGATCCCATGGACTGCAGCCTGCCAGGTTCCGCTGTCCATGGGATTCACCAGGCAAGAATACTGGAGTGGGTGGCTGTGCAGGCCCCTCTAACCCCAGGGCAAGAGCCCCCCTGCCCAAAAGGATGAATGTAACCTGAAGCTGCTCTGAAGGGACAGAGCAGTAGAGAGGAGAGAGGCCACGCTCTGTGCTGTCCTTAAAGGGCACGGGGAGAGGAGGAGAGAGACACCTGGAGTGTGATCATCCTCCTAGGACGCCCTGGCCCTGACTCTGCAGGACATCCCACCACTACAGCCTCAGAAAGCCACTTATCCTCAGGACGGCATGCAGGTGGTGGGCACAAGGTCACCCAGCTGGTTAGTGATGGGTAGCTAAGACTCAGTGGCTCTCTTACACATACACACACACACACACACACACTCACTCCCCTACTAATGTCCTAGGCCCTCTTCTGAATGGCTGATTTCTTGGACTCCTGTCTCCCTGTCTGAGTCATCCCAAGTCTGGACCAGTCCAGAATTCCTGAGGCCATGGCCACCAGCACTGAGGGCATCTAAGATACAAATCCAGCTCAAGGAACTCTTCAGTTTGTTGTGATCTATGTCACTATTGATGGAGAGCTCCTAAGACAGGAGGCATGATAATACCCAGGATCACAGTCCCCACCCAACTGCCCCGTGTGCCCCTGGGCACTCCTTCCCCATTGGCATGCCTCCCAGCCTTTCTCCATCAGGGGCTCACTTCATGCTCTGCGGCCCCCCACCCCAGCCTAACACCCCGGAAGGGTTTGGGACGGGGTGTCTTTGAGCTCACAACAAAGGATGCTCCATGACCCATCAGTGCCTCCTTCGCTCAGGGGCAAGGCCCTCACAGGTGTAGCACGTGTCTGACCTTCGGAAGATATAAGCCTGCCCTCAAAGCACTGACAGGTGGCCAGCAGAAGTGACGTCCTGACTGTCTCACAGAAATTATACGGAAAGGGAGGAAAAGGTCAGAAAACAAAAGTGCAGGGGTTCAGAGAACGGACAAGAATGGTGGAGACGATGGCAGGGCCAAGGCTGCCACTCCTGGCCTCCGCCCCAGAGAGCCGCAAAGAGACAAGATCCCCAGGCAAGGGTCCATGGAGGCCTTGGGGTCAAGGGCCAGGCTTGGCCTTGAGGGCCCAGCAGGACATCGACAAGTAAAGATGAGAGTGAGCTGTGCTCACAGGGGAAAGAAACTGGGCTGGCAGAGGTGCTATAGACCATTGCATCAGAGATGCCCCTGCATACCTGTGACTAGGGATGCAGATCCTGGCTCTGCTGTGTGACCTTGGGCAAGTTCCTCACCTTTTCTGTGTTCCATCTATAAAACTGGAATGAGAGCAGCACCTACTTCATAAGATCCCTGAGAGATGTAAGTGAGTATTTACAGTGTTATGACAGTACCTGGCATGTACAAAGTGCTCTACGAGTGATATTTATTATTGGTGTGGATGACAATGATGTTATTTCATTGCATGGAAGCCTTTTCTAACTGAATCCCCAGCGGCTTTGCTGTTACCTGGTTTCTATACTTGGGTAAGGATTTGTTTGCTCATTTACGTGGTAAGTCACAGATTTCAGGACTGAGTGGTGGAGCTCCCTGAAGGGGTGCCCCGTTCCTGCTGGCTCTCCTCAAGAAGGGGAGAGGGGAGGAGAAGAGGTGCCTGCTGGTTGATGGTGCTTTCTGGGGCTCCGGGGCTTCAGTAAGCCGAAGGCTGCAGGGAAGCTGTCTTGATCACCCCAAGGGATGGATCCTCTAACACCACGGCTCCTTTGGCCCAGCTCGCCCACGGATCTAGGCAGGAGCAGCCCATCTGGGGCCTGGGAACAGGAGGAAACTCACATCCTACACCCTCAGTGCTTCCAAGTGGACAAAGCGTGGCTTCTCTCCTGGCCACTAACTCATGGCCACGAGAGAAGCAGCCAGGACTTCCTTTCCCTGGATGGCTGAAGGCATGGGCCAGCGCTCTCTGTGAAGGACCTGCTGTTCTGCTCTCCAGCCCCATGGCCAGGGTCAGCACGGACGGCTCTGCAGCGGGGGTGGGAAAAGGCTGCAGCCACATGGCTCCCACGGGGCTTAGATGGTCAGTGAGCCAAGCATGAGAGATCGGTGGGTCACAAGAAGGCGAGGGTTGGGGGCACCGTGGGAGGAGACGCCCTCCATCTGATAGGGAAGATGGTTCCTGACTTCTGGAGTTTGGGATCTAGTGGGGAAAGGTGACGGCTATACTTACATTAGAATCATTCAATGATAATAAGTATTATAATTTGTATTATCGGCTCCTACTCATATTACTCAGAGCTCCTCCTCTGCTCCTCCAAGCACTTTCCTTGCATCCTGTCATTTAATCCCTACAAAGCGCACTGGGAGGTGGGTGATGTCATCATACAGGTGAGGAGAAGGAGGCAGCGGGAAGCTACGGAACCCGCCCAAGGTCCACAGCAGCCTGAGGCAGCTCAGGGTCCGCAGGCCGGGCTTCACCGTGACCCTGGACTGCGCGGGAGACAGAGGCCGCGAGCCGCCGCGCCCAGGGGAGGGCCAGCACTGGGGAAGCTGGCCACCGGGCTGCTTTCTGAGGACCATGAGGATGAATGGGAGGGCGCGGCAAGGAGCTGTGTTGGGGTGCGGGTCCCAGCAGTGAAGCGTGTTGGGATGGTGAGATGAAGCTGCAGACTGTGATGGGGGTGGGGGTGGGTGAGGCAGGGCTGCCCTGTTCTCCAGCGGGTGTCCTGTGCAGAATGGGGTTGGGAGGGGGGTGGTGGGGAGGGGTCAGCCTCTAAATGCTCCCCCAGCAAAGAGCAGGGGCTGCCTAAGCGAAGTGCTCAGTCTATTGCCCGATGCCACTGTTTGAGTCGCAACTGGAGTTTAGTTTATGACTCTGGCCTCCGTAAACCCTGCCAGAGCACAACAGGCAGCGAATGCAATGCCCCTGCACCCTGGGAACCCCTGGTCCAGCTGAGACTGTCCCAGGCCCGAGTCGGGGAGGCTGTCTGGGACTGTCAGGGGAGCCTGGCACTCTCTGGGGCAGAGGGGGGAGAGGAGAGAACCTGAGGGGTTACTTAGTCCCTTCTGTTAATTACCCACTATTTTGACCCTGAGAAGTGAGACTTGAGATTAGTGAGGGATCAGAGATCCAACACGCTTCCCTGCTGGGATCTGCATCCCAACATAGCTCCTTGCCAAATCCCCCCATTCATCCTCATTGTCCTCAGAAATCACTCCTGCAGGCTCCTTCTCTGATGCTGGCACTCCCCTGGGCACGTGCGGCTGGCACCCTCTGTGCCCCACACAGTTCAGGGTCAGGGTGAAGCCTGGCCTGTGGAGGGATGTGACTCAAGCCTGCCCGTCCTCCCCGGCCTAGCATCCTTGCAAACTGGGCTGCACTGACCCCCCCTCCCACCCTGCAGACCCCCGCCTCCCCATCCTGGTCAGTCTCCCCCAGGCTGTTCACAGTCCTCACTCCTCTGCCGCTCTCCCCAATCCAACTCATGCGAGAGCAGCCAGTTCACACGGGCCAGTCTTTCTCCCTCTTCCATTTCGCAGACTCTGTCCTGACTCGGCCATCCCAAAGCCAGGGACAGCTTTAAGCAGCTGTCCACACACACACACCCCACCCTCCCTGGACACCAGCTCCTGGAGAGCAGGACGGCGTCTCCTTCATCTCTGTCTTGTCTTGATTAGCCCTGGGCCGAGCGCTCAGAGGAAGCTCAGTGAACATTCCTTGAGAGATCTCTTCATTCCTGTGGCCTTAATGTATCACAGTGTGGGAAGGTCGCTCAGTCGTGTCCGACTCTTTGCAACCCCATGGTCTATACAGTCTAGAGAATTCTCCAAACCAGAATACTGGAGTGGGTTGCCTTTCCCTTCTCCAAGGGATCTTCCCAACGCAGAGATCGAACCCAGATCTCCCACATTGCAGGCAGATTCTTTACCAGCTGAGACACAAGGGAATCACAGTGTGGGGGCCACGGAAAATGTGAGATGAGTGTCTGTGGGCTGAATCCAGGCCAGGAGGCCCCTTCCACTGAGTCTGGGACAAGGCTCCGGTCACCGCCACCTCCCACCCTTCAGAAATCACCTACTCCAGGCTCTTGGGGCTCTTCCCGTGACCAGGCCAGGAGGCTGTGACGTGTCCCTGGGTGGGGGAGCCCTTGTGAGGCCAGGGACCCTCACGTGTTCAGAAATACCTGGGCAGCACTGCAGAAATACAGGGGCGGGGATGGCGGGTGGAGGGCATGGCTTCCTCCTGCAGGGAAAGGGTCTGCGGTTGCTGGCACACTGCTGAGTGGAAGTTCTCTGTCGGGATTGGTCAGGATGGTCCAGGAGGAAAGCTGTCCTCACTAACACACATTGGAACAGACAGACCATCCCAGCAGATCTGCCCAGTCACTCCAGGTCAGTGTTCATCAAATTGCAGTTCAAGACCCACTGATTGGTGATGGAATCAATGCAATAGATCATGACCAATGTGCTTAACAGAACAAAACAAAACAGAGTAAGGTAGGATTAGATGGAATAGAACAAAATAGAATAACATAGGGCATTGTACTTAGTAAGAATATGAGTTCACAAAATCTTTGTTTCCATTATGATTTCTACTATACACACGGGTTTTGTATGTGTCAAGTGTACCTACTAGGTTGTGATGTAAAATATATTTCTTACTCTGGGGTTCCAGTCAAATAAAAAGTATGAAAGCCCATGGTGACCTAGATTGCCCACAAATCTACCAAATCTACCCGACTTGTGCCCCCTCCTTACGATTTGATTCAGCCATGAAGTAGCATATCCATCTGTATTAGTGATATTTTGAACAGACTCTTTTTTTTTAAATATTTTAATAGCCTTCTATCTTGTTTCCATCTATAATACACTATTCCCCCTATTCTTGGGTATTTCCATTCTAATTTTTACAAATAACATTTTTAAAAAAAATTTTATCACAGTATACCTGATTTGACTTTGTGGAGCTCCAACCAGTCCATCCTAAAGGAAATCAGCCCTGAATATTCATTGGAAGGACTGATGCTGAAGCTGAAACTCCAATACTTTGGCCACCTGATGTAAATAAGCAACTCACTGGAAAAGACCCTGATGCTGGGAAAGATTAAAGGCGGGAAGAGAAGGGGACAACAGAGGATGAGATGGTTGGATGGCATTGCTGACTCAATGGACATGAGTTTGAGTAAACTCTGGGAGTTGGTGATGAACAGGGAGGCCTGGCGTGCTGCAGTCCATGGGGTCACAGTCACTCACATGACTGAGTGACTGAACTGACTGACTGACTGCCTGGAGCTGTCCTCTCCCTGGGGTCTTAACTGGGCATGTTCAGCAGGGATGTGTGTTCCACATACAGTTACCAGGCCATGAGGCAGTGCCGTGAGCTGGGGCCCCAGTGGAAGGGCAACTGGGACAACCCCCTTGAAGCTCTTTGCAGCTCCCCTGCCTCCAGAGAAACAGAAAGTAAAGGACAGGCTTTGTGTGACTGCAGGAGACCCCAGGCAGCTTTTCCGGCGACCCTCATTTTGTAGTTGGGGAACCTGAGGCCCCTGCAGAGTGAGGCCAGTGGCTGGGGTTACCTGGAGTAGAACCCACATCTCCTACAACTTCCCATGAGCACAGCTCCCACTGCTGCCCCAGCCTGCCCCGGGGGCTGGCATACTGGGCCATAGGCAGGCCACAGTGATGGTGCCCTCTCCCGTGCTGGGAGCGGGGAGCTGGCTGCTATAGACCCTGCCAGCTCAGGGGGCTTCCGGGAGCAGCTGGATCCACTGTCCACAGGAAGGCACCTTCGCTCAAGGATTTGACAGGAAATTGCTCAGAAATGAAGCAAAGGGAGGCACAGCCATTTCAGATACTAGAAAAACAAGAGCCCTAGGTTTCCCACACTTAGCCCTGATGGGAAAGTTGGGATGAGGAGAGAATGCCAATGAGGATAAGTTCCAGAGCGGCTGGAGGCAGGGGATGGGCTGCAGCAGGCCTGGGAGGTTCACCCAGGCTGCTCACTTTCCTGGGCTCTAAGTGAAGACTCCCCCCAGTTAGGCCGCCCCCCTCCACCCTACTCTCCAACCTCAGGCTTCAGGAAACCCTGGGGCGACCCCCCTCCATCTGCTGACCTGGAGTCAAGGAATCCCAAAGCCGAAAAGCATTAGTCTCCTTCACCTCCATAGCCCCAAGGCCCAGTCCAGGATCTGGCTCATAGCAGACATGAAATTCAATGAGTTTTGAGGAATGAATGAATGAATGAAGATGAAGTCCAGCTAGGGCATGAGGACAGTGACAAAGAGAAAGAGCATTTAAAAATGAACATATGATGAGAGGCGGAGGTGGGTGCAGAGGAGGAATGAGGTGGGTGTTATGGGCAAGGCTGGGCTGGAGCAACCACAGGAGGCTTCCTGGAGGTGGGGGTTACAGGCCAGCAGAAGGAAGCATAAGCAGAAGTATAGGGCACCCAAGGGGACAGAGGAGGGGTGTCGATCTCATGTTCAGACCTGGAAGGTGCTGGGGAGCCTCCTGGGCTTGGATGAGCAGAAACAACTAGGAACTGGCCCAGCGGATGCCAAGGAAAAGGCACAAAGTGAGGAGGAGGAAAGGGCCTGAAAAGGACAAGATTTCCAATTTCACATCCCCAAGGGGAAACAGGATCCACCTGGGGAGGGGGCCACTTTGCCAGGACCCTGTGGCTCCAGCCAGAGGCAGAGCTTGTTAGAGTCTTCCCCTACCACCCCCAAGCTGAAGGGCCTTAGTGCCTGGAGGAGCAGCAGGAAAACGGCCTCCTGGTTCTGCCATCACACGCATATCAACCAGCGAGAGAAAGCACTCAAAAGAAAGTCAGTCTATTTCTGTTACCACTTGGAAATGAAGACTTCCCTAGAAACTGGCTGTTGAGGTTCCATTGTACGTGTAAAGGCACTTGCGTGCGTGGGTGTACACACACACACATACACACACACACACACACACACACACGGCATTATTCCCGAGAGTTCCGATGTGGGGCTTGCCTGTGGCTGTGCCCCTCAAGGGACCACCAGTGAGCCTGAGGGCGGGGCTGGCCACAGCGGACGTGAGGGTCAGGACCAGGGCCTCTGTCTGTGTAGGAGTGTGCATCACGTGGGGGTCTCCCCAAGGCCCAAGTCCAGTTTGTGACCCAGCTTGGCTTCTGGTCCCACCCATGTCTTCCCTAACGTTGACTTGAAGCTGACCGAGGGCTCAAGGGGCACCACGTGCAGAGACCCCTCCCTGCACCCCATGTGGTACCCACAGATGACTCAGGGGTGGATGGCACCTCTCTCTGCCCTGCTCTAACTGCCTCTCTGCATCCAATCAATACCTCGATGTCTGGGACGTTCATCTCCCCGTCTCTCCAGTGTGGACGCGTGAGGGCAGGCGCAGCGGCTGGGACAGGGAGCTCCCTTGCCTCCTCCTCGGGAGGCCCTCGGGGGTCCTCAGGCTCGCAGAGTCCTCACTTTCCCATCAAAGGGAGGAGAGACACAGAGAGGAGAGGCTGCCAGGGCTCCATGTCAACCCACACCACTTGTCACGGAGCTAAGACCATCAGGGAGCAGTGGGTTTGAGGGGCTTCTGTCTGGATGAACATCACCTGTTGCTATTTTTAAAACGGACTTCTTTGTGACTCGGCTGGAATTCAGAAGCAAAGGTAGGGACGGGAACAGCGGAGTCCCCAGATGTTGTGCCCTCCCTGTCAGCGCTCAGGGCCTACCATGAG